CTGGTAATCCTCATAGATGGAATAATCTTTGAGCACACGAGCTACGATCTTCCGTGAACTAGTAGATGGCTCCAAACCGGTCAACAATAATCTCGATTCTTCACTCACTCCTCCACCACGCGCATTTATCGGTTCAAGATATTTCGTCATCTCCACTCTCAACTTATTTCTGCCACGAGACTAAAAAACTTCCGGTATAACAAAATCAATCTCATTAACAGAAATCATAGAGTAAGAGTTAGGAAAATGCGGGTTAGGGAATGGAGGTGGTGTCACTACATTTGATGATTATTCACTGGATTCTTTCACTTCAATGGGTTAAGGTTGGGGTTCCATATCTTCATTTTCGGCTTCTTTTTCAACTGCATCTGCAGATCTCTCATTTTGACACTCTTGCATCTCCTCATCACTAGTCAAGCAAATTGCACTCTCATTTTTTTCAAAATCAACAATGGTTTCCGAGGGCAATTCTTCAATTTGAGAAGCCAATCGATTTATTCTGGATGTCAATAGACACATTTGATCTTCCAGATTACTCATTGCATCCTTCATCATCCCATTTCTCATTTGTGTCTCCTGTTGGAATTGATATGTATTAGTAGCTATTGATTCAACTATTTCTTCAAGAGACATACCTGACATAGATGATGATTCTTGAGACTCATACTGCTGAAAATTTATTGGCCCTGTTGTATAATTATAACTGGAGTTATCCCACCATCCTTGATCATACCCGTTTGGATTAGAGTTATACCACGTTTGAGACCAGGGTGAAATATCTTCATAATTATTGAGTGGGACACTCAGATTATCTTGATATTCGGGGTACATACCGGTTGAATGATCCCTGGCATAACAAATTTTACAGGTTGCAGCAGCCATTTTGTCTCTAATAGAGTTTAGTGCCTTTGAATATGCAAACTTAGCAAAAAAACTAGCCTCACTGCCTTCCCTGGAAACAAAATCCAGTTTATCACCAAAATACGGAGTGTTAGAAGCCATAAACTATATAAAAAAATAAGAGAAAAATAAATAAAAAAAAATAAAAACACGATGAACTCAAAAAGAAACAAATTAATCTGGCACCAGTCCCCGGCAACGGCGCCAAAAATTGACAGGGGTCGAACCTGTACAACAATAAATACCTACTCGAGAAAAATACAGATTTTGTATATAGCGGTGAGTAGGGTCGAATCCACAGGGACTGTGGATAATTCGTTTCTTCTAGAGTCCAAAGTATGGGGGGTTTTGGATTAAATGCTAACTAAATAAATTAATTGCAGAGAATAACTGATTAAGAGAAATAATTAAGGGAAAACTCTAGGCAAGGGTACACTTCAGAAATGGTTCATGCACTGATCATTGATGCAGAAATAATTCCAACATTTAGTAATAGATTAGTTATAGTTGGCATGCACGCGATAAACAACCAACCCTTCCTTAATTTCTCGATAGTTAAGGTACGACCGTTAACTATTTCTCTAATCCAAAAACAACCCTAGATACGACCGTAGGATTTAATTTCTAGATTGCATTAATAATTAGAAAGGTCCAATCCTAACCAACAAACACGCTACGAGGGTTTGTTTAAACTAGATCGTATGTTCCCCTGACATAAACCTAATTACGCCAGTTGCTACTGAGGTAGAGATAACGAACAATTACGGATTCAATTACCCCTATTTAGCAAAAATAGCCTATATGAATAATTAATTATTGTGCACTAATCAATCACACACAAGGCCATAGCAATTAAAATTAGGGAACATATAAATACCAATAAATGAAGAAAATAATTAAAACAGATTCGATCTCACAGTAATTGTCGAACCAAATCGTCAGTTGTCCCCTTGACTAGAAAAACTTAGCCATGCCTCATAAGAAAATCTTCCCGTTGAAGAATATTATCGAATACCTGGCGTGTGTCAGAGGCCAGTCAAAAGAAAGAAAACTAGAACTAAACTAAAAAACTAAAACTAAAGCCGTCTGTCTGTACGTTTTTCTTTTCTACTTAAAAGCCAAAAGAAAGAACCTAATCTTCTCTCCAGTGGTCCCCACCCAATTGGTAGTCAAAGCTGCCCAAAGAGAAACCTGCCGATTTGCTCAAGTCTCTGTACGTTGCTTTTCTTTCTTTAGCCAAATGACTAGTGCTCCTTGTTCTGTGGGCCCCCACCGAATTGAGAAAATTAGTTGTTGTTCCTTTCTTGTGGGCTGCGTTGAAGTAATATGCTCTAGAAAGCCCCTCCTTTTGGTAGTTTTCTGCTTCCCTCCTGAAATTGATTCCAAATACCAAATATAAGTAAATATCAGCAATTAACACAATATTTGTCAGGGATAGAAGGAGAAATTAATAATAAAATTACTAACAAATTATACCCTATCAATTCCCCCCACACCTGAATCATGCTTGCCCTCAAGCATGGGGACAACTCAACTAAAAAATGGCTAGCTTTCACATTATCGTCGCCAGCTGTGCTTATACCAAAATCAAGATTTAGTGGCTAAGTGTCAAGTCATATCTCTCCCGGTTAGCTCCTATGTTCATAGACCCGTCCAATTCATGGCTAACTCACCTAAGAAATCCAAATATTAACTAGCAACAGTCGGCAATTAAGTCAACTGGCAACCCAAAATTTCAACATTACAAACCAAGGATCGGCATGCCAACATGATCATAAACTCATATATTTTCCACATCTGATTTTTTTTCCTTTCACTTCTTTTTTTTTTCTTTGGATTTTTTTTTTACACGAATAATGCTTAGTCCCAAGCTATTCAAGTCTTTTGACGTGAACTCTGACATTTTTAGATGAAAGAGCCCAGTTACTCAACTTTTCACAGCTCCAGGACCACTTACTCATAGATATCGCCACTTTTTGACGCGAGAGCCGACACGTGTGGTGAAGACTCCCGGTTACTGGGTAGCGACACTAGCGGAGTATAGCCATACGTTATTCACCATAACACACCAAAATGACTAGTGCTCCTTGTTCTGTGGGCCCCCACCGAATTGAGAAAATTAGTTGTTGTTCCTTTCTTGTGGGCTGCGTTGAAGTAATATGCTCTAGAAAGCCCCTCCTTTTGGTAGTTTTCTGCTTCCCTCCTGAAATTGATTCCAAATATCAAATATAAGTAAATATCAGCAATTAACACAATATTTGTCAGGGATAGAAGGGAAAATTACTAATAAAATTACTAACAAATTATACCCTATCAATAGTACTAGTAAACAGAATTTCTTAAATAAATAAAGGCCACCAACATCACATGCCATTGACCAAAGCTAGTAACATGGCCTCATCTTAATGTAGTACTAGCAAATGGAATTTCTTAAATCACATGCCATTGAGCAAACAAGTTTGATGGCCTCATCTTAATGTAGCCTTAAAACTTTCTCTCCTTTAATATTACCCCTTGTTTGGTACATGGAAATGCACAGAATAGAAAGGGTTTCGACCAGAATATGTATCCACCAGGATGGTAGGAAGAAAGTTACTGTTCCAAGGTTTGATATACAAGTCAGAGTGGAATCTTTATTCAGTTTCTAATTTTTGGTATAATCAAATTTAGATGTTAGAATGAAATATACTAAATACAAATTCGACTTAATATTAGGTTAAAGGGCATCCTATATCTTTTTTTTGTTTTATTTGTTCTATAATAGTATTTGTCTATTTATGTGAAATTTGATATCTTTATTTAAAAATAAATTACGATTGATATCAAAATTCTTCAATTGTAGTGAAGATTCATTCTAATATATAGATTTTTACGTTAAAATTTTATTTACTACCAATATAATTAGTGGCGTAAAATATAAATTACATGAAGTTAGACAATTATAATTTAGTTATTTTCAATTTTGATAGGAGATTTAAAAAAATTCTTGAACAATTGTTCAAAAGTCAAAGAATAAAGTATCTTAAAACATTTGTTTCCTAGTATAAAAGAAAAATTAATTATTATAAAAATTACATTCAAATATTAATTGAGCTATAAATAGCTTAAGATATGGCGATGCATTAGACTTGTGACGATAAATTTGACATCCTACTATTTAGGCATTCTAGGATGAAGGTGAAGAGAGCGTTCCTTAGATTTTTTTAACGAATGGAATTCTAGAAAAAGTTAGAATGAGCATTCTAAGAAAAATTAGCTTTCCCACTTAAATGAATTATACCAAGCACCGGAATGAAATGGACAAATTGGAAAGGCCTTTCTTTCTAGGTGTTTTTGTGAGGTGCATTTATGAAGAAGAAGCTAATGAGCTTCTAAATCCTATGTCGGATCACAAATACATGACAATTTAATGTGTAAACTAGTGAAGAAGAATCTTAGCAGTGTCCATAATTTTATTAAGTTTTCTTCTCTGCTAATCCAACAAGTTATCTTCAGTCTACTAAATTTAATTAATTCCATTTCTCAATTTGTTTCATAATTACATAAGCAATCAAGAAGTTGGTTGATGAAACGAAGAAGTCCTCATCCATTCTAAATCTCTTTGTGTCCCTTCTTGATTGCTTAAGTAGTCAAGAAGAGTTGGCTTAATTGTTTAAGTAATCGAGAAGATTCTTTGCAGTGTGAATAACAAATAAACATTGAGGAAAAAAAGAAAAGAAAAATGCAAAGTAGGAAGATGCATTTTCGAGGAAGTAGCCACCAGGCATATTCTAATACCACCAGCCAGATTGAATAAATGAACTAGGTAGATAAAGCAGAATAAATTGATTAATCAGGGTGAGATTTCAGATCTGTGTCTCCTGTTGCCAGCCCCTCAATCAGTTTAGTTAAAGTCAGCTCTTTTGAGTCTGTACACTGTTGCATTAATTGCAATTATACTAATCTGAATCTCACACATCAACCCACAGGAATCGTTAACTCATCTCTCTCCTGTTCTGGGCTTCTATTCTATTTCTACCATTTGTTGTTGAAACATTCCTTCCATCTCTGATATCAGAAAACCTTTCGATCCTAGTTCCAATTCCAAGCAAGAAACAATAATGGCTGACGCTGCTATCAGTGCTACTGTTAAGGTCGTCCTGGAGACGGTCATTTCCACAGCTGCGGACCGTATTGGTATGGTTCTCGGGGTCAAAGCAGAGTTGGAGAGACTGAGCAAAACTACTGCAACGATCCAAGGTTTCCTGGCTGATGCTGACGGGAAAATACATAGTTCAGGGGTGCGAGATTGGCTCAAGCAGCTAGAGGATGAGGTTTTCAAAGCTGATAACGTGCTGGACGAGCTCCATTATGACAATCTTCGCCGGGAGGTGAAGTACCGAAATCAACTCACCAAGAAGAAGGTATGCTTATTCTTCTCCTTCTTTAATGCAATTGGTTTTAGTTCCAGCTTGGCTTCAAAGATCCGAGACGTCAACACCAACCTAAAAAGGATCAACCAGCAAGCCAATGACTTGGGATTGGTAATCAAGTACCAAATTGAAGCTGCACTCCATGCTGATGCCACTACAAGCAGACAGACCGACTCTATTGTTGTTCCAAACGTTGTAGGAAGAGCCGGCGACGAGTCAAAAATAGTGGAGATGCTATTGACCCCATCTGAAAGAGTTGTCTCAGTTATTCCCATAACAGGCATGGGAGGCCTGGGCAAAACGACTCTTGCTAAATCAGTCTACAACAATACAAAAATTGATGAGAATTTTGGCATAAAGAGTTGGGTTTGTGTGGCTAGAAAAATAGATATAGTGGAGCTGTTCAAACTCATTTTAGAATCGTTGACAAGAACAAAGGTTGAAGTGGATGGTAGGGATGCCATAGTTCAAGGAATTAGAGGAAAACTTGGGGAAAAAAGATTTCTCCTTGTTCTTGATGATGTGTGGAATTGTGAAGAGAGATTGTGGGATGACTTCTTCACCACGTTGTTGGGACTCAGTACAACTAAAGGAAGCTGGTGTATTCTCACTACTCGTCTAGAACCAGTGGCTAATGCTGTGCCTAGACATTTGCAAATGAATGATGGTCCTTATTCCCTAGGAAAGTTATCAGACGATGCGTGCTGGTCTATGCTGAAGGAAAAGGTAATTGCTGGAGAAGAAGTACCAAAAGAATTGGAAGCAATAAAGAAGCAAATTTTAAGGAGATGCGATGTCCTACCATTGGCGGCAAGTTTGATTGGTGGCTTGTTGCTTAACAACAGAAAAGAGAAGTGGCACTGCATTGTGCAGGAGAGTCTCTTGAATGAAGATCAAAGCGAGATCGATCAAATACTTACGGTGAGCTTTGATCATTTATCACCTCCATCAGTTAAGAAATGTTTTGCATATTGCTCGTTTTTTCCCCAGGACACTGAATTGGGAGAAGATTAACTAATTCAGCACTGGATTGCAGAAGGTTTTGTTCAACCAGATCGGCAAAACCAAAGATTGATGGAGGAAATAGCGGGTGATTATTTGAGGATTTTGTTACAAAATTCCTTATTGGAAAAAGTAGAAGAGTCGTGGAGAACATATTATAAAATGCATGATCTCGTGCATGATTTTGCAAAATCAGTTCTCAATCCTAAAAGCAGCAGCCAGGATCGCTACCTTGCATTACACTCATATGAAGAAATGGCAGAAAATGTCAGATGGAATAAAGCGGCATCAATCCGCTCGTTATTTCTCCATTTAGGGGGTGGCATATCTGCTGACACGGACATGTTATCAGGATTCAAGCACTTGCATGTTCTCAAATTGTCTGGATATGATGTCATGTTTCTGCCGAGCTCTATTGGCAAATTACTACGTCTGCGGTTGCTCGACATTTCATCTTCTGGTATCACAAGTTTGCCGGAATCTCTTTGCAAGCTATATAATTTGCAGGCACTAACGATTGATGGTTATGCACTTGAAGGAGGTTTTCCAAAACGGATGAGCGATTTGATTAGCTTGCGACATCTAAACTACTGGCATGATGATGCAAAATTTAAAATGCCGGTGCAGATGGGACGATTGACTTGTCTTCAAACTCTAGAGTTCTTTAATGTAAGTCAAGAGAAGGGTTGTGGCATCGAAGAGCTTGGGACCTTGAAATATCTTAGAGGATCATTGGAGATAAGAAATCTTGGACTAGTAGAGGGCAAAGAAGCAGCTAAACAAGCAAAATTGTTTGAAAAGCCAAATCTGTCTAGCTTAAGGTTGGACTTTGAACGGAAAAGTGATAACTGTGATGAGGATGTGTTGGAAGGTCTCCAACCTCACCCAAATTTGCAAAAGTTGGAAATTCGATATTGCATGGGTAATAAAATTCCCCAATGGCTTATCAATTTGCCAAAATTGGTGGAGTTGCGGATAGAAGATTGCCAGAGATGCAGTGAACTCCCGTCATTAGGACAACTGCCATCCCTCAAACGCCTCTATTTGAGAAGCTTGGACAACATCCGATCTATTGGAGATGAATTCTATGGTATTAATACTAATGAGGAGGAGGAGGAGGGCAGATCACGAGCATCAGGGAGCAGCACTAGAACACGAAATTCTTTCCGGCCCTTGAAGAACTCTATGTACGAGATATGAGGAATTTGGTAGATTGGAAGGATGCAGACCAAGTGAGGTCAACAACAGGTGAAGTAGAAACAGATGTCTTTCCCATGCTGAGGAATTTTCACATTCAACATTGCCCACAACTGACCAATCTTGCATGCTCGTGTAAAATTCTAGTCGTGGAGTATTACGGCAATCTAACAAGTATAAAAATGGGTTACGACACTGCTTCTGTTGAGGAGTTGAGTATCCTTTCTTGCGACAATCTTAGGGAGCTGCCAAGAGATGTGTTTGGATCAAGTTTGCAGCTATTGCGCATCTCAGATTGCCCGAGATTAATTAGTCTAGGAGTAAATGGACAGAAATGCCCCCTTACATGTCTTGAGCGATTGAGCATTGATTATTGCTACGGGTTGACCACTATATCTGACAAAATGTTCGAGTCATGCCCATCTCTGCGGTTCCTGTCGGTTGGGTATTGCCGCAATCTGGTGTCATTTTCACTTAATTTGCAGGAGACGCCTTCTCTCGAGGAATTCAGCTTATTCGAATGTCCCAAATTGATCCCTCATAGGTTCAAAGGATTTGCTTTTGCCACCAGCTTAAGAAAATTGAGCATCGGTCCCTTCTCCTCAGATGACTCCTCAATGGATGGTTTTGATTGGTCTGGCTTGGTAAATGCATCAACACTCCGTGAGCTTCAATTACGAGGCTTGCCTCACTCGGACTCCCTGCCACACCAGCTTCAATACTTGACTACCCTCCCTTCACTAAGTCTCTTCAACTTTCGAGGAATAGAGGTGCTACCACATTGGATTGGAAACCTTGTGTCCCTTGAAACCCTAAAGCTATGGTTTTGCGAAAAGCTTCAGTCTTTACCACCCGAGGCTGCCATGAGACGACTCACAAAGTTAACTCGTGTCGAAGTTTGTGGGTGTCCTCTATTAAGACAACGATACACTCCCCAAAGAGGCATCTACTTGGAGGAGTAGATTTCAAGTTATTTTGTAAGATTTTCCTATCTAAAGTTCACACTCATAGATATGCATACAAATTTTTTGTATCTGCATCTCATTGACATATATTTGCTCTTCAGTCTCTTATACTCTTTTTTCTCCGTCTCTTCTATGAAATTTCACTAGTCGTGTAAAGTTAATCCCTGTAATTCTGTTCTTTTTGGGCAGACCTTGGTTTCTCTTCAAAGATTAGTTTTAACAGATCCTGGTTTTGAACAAATTAGAAGAGACCAAAATTCTAGATTTCCTCTGCCTCTCTGAATCACTGAAAGATTTTGAACATCTTAAAAACTCCTTGCACTTCAAATTGTTACATTCTATTTGGCCAAGGATGAAATTATTAGCAATGGTGCATGCACAATTAGCCTCTTTGTTTGAATGTGTTGGAAAATGTTTCATTTGATGCGTAATGCTACATGTACATGGACCCATTCTTCATTTTTCTGTCACCTGATATTGCCAGTTTGAATGGACAACATTAAAGCTAATCAAGAAACATTTGCGAAGAAAATTCAAGATACAATTTGCTGTTCAAGATACAATAATTTTGGACAGTTGTTTGTCATGTTTCACAAGTTTCAGAAGTTTATTCGTCACAATTACCATGCAGGTAAGCAGTGAGAGCGAACAAGAAGAAATCGATGACAATGAGCAAGCAGGCAGAGACTGTGAACAAAAAAGCATTGATAGTGCTCAAACATCAGCTTCATGGTGTTTCCCATCGTTGCTGAAGAAGAAGAAGAGCTTAGGAGGTTTGTTGTGCAGAAAAGTGATAATGCAGCATTTCTTTCCCCAAGAACTCTTTTCTTATGCAGAAAAGTGATAATGCGGCATTTCTTTCTCCAAGAACTCTTTTCTTACCTCCATCCAATTTACTAAGAGTACAAGGAATTGGTGCAAGTTTGCATTCTAGTATGCTTGAGTCATGTAATTGGCCTACGAACAGGGCATTTTCCTGTACTGTTATGTGTTTGTGAACTTTTACCCTATGCCTACAGCTTATCTTTTGCTCTTTAAGATTTTTATATTTACTTGGTGCTAAACATGTCTATTGATTGTGAAAGAATGTGGTCTTTTCCGATTTTCTTGCACTAGTTACTAGACCATAACTTTTCTTTGCTTTCATTGTTCATTATAATTGAAGGCATACTGAAATGTACCATTGTGATGCTTTCCAGAGTCTTAGGAGACATAGCTTATGTTATTGGACAAAGGACACCATCGTTTACACACCAATTGTCACACGATATTGCATAATAGGAGAAACTTCTTGAATTCTGGTAGGCTTTAATTGGTTTAAGTAGGATGATGTTTCTTTTATGTTTGTACTGACCCCTTCTGTTTAGTTTACATAGATCTAATTGGGCTGCTGCTTCTGATATGATCCCAAAAGTACATACCTTTAGTTTTTTAAGCTGCAGTATCGGTTTTTCTCAATGCACTGCCATCACTAGTTTGTTATATTGTTGGTTTCTGGTTGGCAGATGAGTTTTTATTGAGTTGAAGTTTCATTTCTTAGCATTTATTAATTCTAATTTGAATTTGCTTTTCATTTAGGCCATGTCCTCGCTTAAAGGTAGGGAGAATACATTAGAGAAGATTTGAGGAGGCTATTGATTACGTAAATGAGCAGCATCCTTCAGATGATTCCTCTGTTCCAGCTGTAAGACTGTTTGTTGCTCACTGCCTGCCAGGCTACAAAGACCAGGAAAACATGGGATTTCTTGATAATGGAAGTATTTCCCAGTTCAGGAAAAAAGAAAAATGATAAAGATATTAAGTGAAGGGCAAACTATTTTTAGTACGAGGTTGGCATGAAAAAAGTAGAGATCGAAATACCTCTCCTTTTAACCAAGATGAGTTGGCCATTAGGTGAAACATAAGATGCAGGCCTGACCAGAGGTGAGAAGTTTTAACATTGAAAAAAAAAAATGGTCTACTTTTATTTACAAATATGACTAAAGAAAGAGAAAATTTTTGGTTCAATCCCTCACGTTTAGGGAGAGTTTTTTTTTGGGTCCCTCATTTTTGAAAGGTATAATTACAAAAACACCCCTGAGGTTTGTGACACATCACATGGTATCCCTAAATATTGAAAAATACCACCTACATCCCTTATTTTCAACTTCTTCCAACTTTGTCAACCTATTCCGACAAATATGATTTAAAAACTCATTTTGGAAGAGATAAGACATTTTCATTCCAAAATTACCCTTTCTTGTGGAGCTTTAGCTTTCATGACAAACCAAATTAACTTCTTAATAATCACAACATGTTAATGAAATTGAAAGATTTTTTATAGTTTTCGATATCATCTATCTAAACAAAAAAGGAGAAAAAATTAGAAACTCTAAATGATTTAGAAGACTCATATGAGTCATCCAAAAATTGTTACAGTTAAAAAAAAAAGACTTTTTGCACCTCAAATAAATTTCTAAATATATGGTTAGTAATTTTATCTTTTTCTTGTTTTCAAGCCATCAATTTGGACAAAAAGTTCAAACATTCAAAATATTCTAAACAATTTGTAGAATCCTTAAATTCATCCAAAACACTTTGCAACAAACAAAATAACTTTTCTTTGAAAATGCCTTAACTGAGTTTGTAAACTTAATTTTAGACATTGTGTCCATTTTTTATTTTCAAATCATTAACCTATACACAAAATTTCAAAAATTCCAAAGATTCTTAAAATTTATAAAACTCCTCCAATTAACGAAAACCCTTACAATAAATGAAATATTTTTTCAGCTTGAACAACCTCAAACATAATCTTTTGTACCTTAAAAACATTTGCTAGTATATTTTATCTCACCAAAATTACACCTGCACACTATTTTTTTATTTTCAAGCTTTTAGTACTATAGTTTCACTTTTGAAAAACTAGTTGGACAACACAAGGGCAATTTTGGCATGAAAACATCTTCGTTCTCAAAAATGAGTTTAATAATATATTTTGAAATGGACTGATAAAGTAGTTGAAAATAAAGGAGATAGGTGATATTTGTCAAAGTAAAGTGTTCCATGTAACATTGTCATTACCTTATGAGAGGTTTCCGAAAGTACCCCTTTTAAAATGAAGCAAATTAGTTTCTCACCTTCTAAAAATAAAGCAAACTATTCCCAAAATGACAACCTGATATATATATATATATATATATATATATATATATGTATATTATAGGAACAAAATTAGAACGTCACTTTAGTTTTTGTGGAATCTAGGTACATGTCATGTGCGCATGACATTAGGTTGACGAAAAAAGGAAAACAATTTAAAAATTATAACATATAAAAAAATCGTTCTCTCTAATTTTTATTTTTTTTTAGAAAATGATATTCGGCCAACATAAAAAGGACAGTGTATATGTGTGTAGAACTTGTATTTACAATATTGAAATTACAGTTAACTTGAGAGTTTTGGTTTTTTTTTATTTTCTTTTGGAATTGGTTTTTTAATATTATACCTATCGGATTTAGGGATGGCAGCGGGGCGGGGTTGGGGCGGCGGACCCCTCCCCCGCCCCCCGCCCCGTTGCCTATTAGTTCCCCCCGTCCCCCGCTTCCCGCTCCTCCCGCCCCGCCTTGCCCCGCTTCCACCCGCGGGGTTAATAAAATTTTATTATTATTAAATTTTAATAAATAATCAAGTACTAAAATATCAACACATCACCAAATTATTATTCATTGTAATTTTACAATTGAAACTCATAAAAACAATCAAACATAAGTTATTTGAATACAATCCAATATGATGAAATAAATATAACTAAAATAGTCAAGTTTTCACTTTTAGTACAAATACAATCACTAATTCATTATTGTGTTTGTGCTTTTTTTTGAGAAAAAAGTGTTATTCTATTAAGTGTTATTAGAAATTTAGTATAAATGTATTAGGAAAATTTAGTATAACTAATTAATAAATTCTATTAGTAGACATGTATAATTATTCATATAATTGATAATATCAATTATATTACATAAACTAATATACATTATATAATACATCTAACTAATAATATCATTATCATAAGTTTATAACTAATTAACTTACATATTATATATAATTATATAAATATTTATATATATATATATTTTTTTTTTTTGCGGGTGGCGGGGCGGGGGATGGGGCGGGGGTATACTCCCCCGCCCCCCGCCCCGTTTCTAGGCGGGGGGAAAAAATTCCCCCCCGCCCCCACCCCACCCCCCGCCCCGAGAGCCCCCCGCGGGCACCCGCCTCCATTGCCATCCCTAATCGGATTGTAGTTAACTACAGGTTTGTACACATATTCACTGTTACTTCAATCTGACGGCACGCCGTATCGGTTACAGCAGTAGCAGCAAGAGCAAGGCGCACGCTATCGGCTGCACCGGCCAAAATTTCAAACATTCATTTTTTTTGGCTTCCAAATATGAAAAAGACGTGGAAGGAACAGCAATTTATGCAGCGCATTTCTTTGGTTCAAGGATAGAAAAGGAACAGAACGGCGTTATTGTCAACCATCTCTTCATAATCGGAGCATTATACTAAGGTGTTGTTTCTTAGTTTATGTTACAAAAAATCAAACACAGCAATTCATGCAGCGCATTTCTTTGGTGCTAAGGATAGAAAAGGAATAGAAGGGGTTATTGTCAACCACCTCTTCATAATCAGGGCATTATAGTCAAGCAACAAACACACAACCCGTTGCCTGCCCAACTGGTCAAGTATCAGGCCATTGATTAAGATTTTAACAATCTCCAAATTGACGCAACTACCCACCTACTCATGGTGCCCATGAGGGGCCTAAGCACTATTCACACCCCTGATTCCCCCTTTTTGTTTGCCTTTTATTGATATATATACTAATCATTATCATTACTATATAAAAAATACCATGAGTCTTGGTATTTTGGAGTGTAAATTTAAGTATTCTTGTAATCTTCGTTTTTGTTATTTCAATTATGTCCTTGTTAATTGATGATTGAAATTTCAT